TAATATTATCCGACTCATTATAAATAAAGATTTATTTTTCTAAGACTCATGGACTACTAAGAGCAGCCACAATGTTGTTACCAAAAAGGCAAAAATGACTAAAATGATGGTCCTCTACTTGCTAACTCAACATTTACATTTATCTCATATTTTCTCACAATAGAATTATAAAGAAATTATTAGATCTACCTGACCCAACTTTTTAATATTTTTCAAATTTTTTCCATTTAATAATAAAATCAATATGTTTTAATTCATGTAGGCTCAATGGACCTAACTTTTATTATGCAAAAGTAATGTAACTGCACAAAAAGCATAAGATTACTTGTCTCACAATGGAAGAGAGACGAGAGTAACTAACACGTTTTTTGCACCAGTTATGCTAAGTTTTATGGAACGTTAGCAATCATATTATGTTGCACTTAGTTATGGTCTGATTCTCACAAGGGAAGAACATCGTCTATTAAATTTGACTTGTCTTTTAAAGCACTATCCATTTAAAAAGCTAAGTAGATAAGAGGACATTCACGAAACAAATAAGGACAAAATTAAATTATGTTATTTTCATCTTATAACAACATGTTATTTTATTATATTGTTTAAGTAAATATAAAAGTGATATATGCACGAGCACATATATATGTACAACAGGAAGTTAAAGAACTTTTTTTCGGACAGCGAAGAAAGTTTTAAAAAGGAAACGGTTGGTTAGTTTCTTTGCCAAGGAAAAAGAAGAATAGCTGGTCAGAATGAGTCCCAAATTAAAAATATTTGAAGAATCCACAGAACACTATCTACACATTGTCCATAAGAGATATGAAAGTGGATAAAGATGATCCGATCAAACTATACCGATCCAATATGGATGAACATGCTTCAAAGCCATATACATGTGGTGTATATATTTCAAGTATATTTCAAGTATTGTATTGTGTTGGAACATGGCCAATACACTTGGATATAATCATGTGTAGCAATATAATAATACTACATTAATATTGTATATAAGTTGTATTAAAAATAAAATTTCAAATTGCATAATTATTTTGGAACGATTTGTACAAGTGACCCAATCGTCCAGGCGGTAGCAGTGATGATGCTCTCATTCAGGAGGTTTAAAGTCATGTTCTGCAGCGATGAATTTTTTTTTTTTTTTTCTAAATTATCAATCCATATGAAACTTGGACTATTTTGGAGATACTCCCCCCCCCCCCCCAAAAAAAAACCAAAAAAAAAAAAGAAGAAAAATTAACAAATAAACTTTTGTATTAGAACAAAAGAATATTAATAAGTTGATATATCCGAAACTAAAATCATCATACTCATGATTCTAAGTTCCTAACAAGTAACAGCCAGTTGGCAACGCACGCAACTTATACATCCAAGTTGACATCTCTATAAGAGCTAGCTCATGATCTACTACCCATCATTGATTTTAGCTAGATTACTAACTAATTAAGCTCTCTTTCATTTTAGCAACGTACATTACTAATTAATACTCCCTCCGTCCCATAATTATTGTCCACTTTGCCTAAAAAATTTTGTCCCAAAATTATTGTCCAATTTGACTTTTTTATGGATCAAGTTACACATTTGTTCTTAGTAAAAAACATTATCCATAAAATTTTATTGGTTAAAAAATTACTTATGTAGGGGTATATCCAGTTGTTTAAGGTAAAAGATAGTTAAATTTGACTAAAAATAAAATCTTTCATTTTAGTAAAGTGGACAATAATTATGGGACGGAAGGAGTATTATTAATTAGTGACATCAAACGTATAGCATCTACCCCTCAACCATCATATCCAGGGTAACCAAACACTAAAAACATACGTATGGTGTTAATTAACAATGTTAATGTTTTTAGAAAATCCCGTAACACAACTGATTTTACATTGCTAGATAGAAAAATGTTGTATATTAACAATATTAAAATGTACTCGGAAAACATGTTTATAATGTGAAAATGTCAATAGCCACAAAACTCCGAATTAAGTCTAGCTAAATCCAATTATAACACCGAAATAAGCAGTGGAGGAACACCCATCCAACAATGTTCCCCAAAAAGTTTGCCTCTTGATGTAGAATCAATAATTAAATTAATGCCCCCAAACTTATGAAAATTGTAACTCACGAATTAATTATTAGAATTCGATCTCTCCCAAAATCAATAATTAAATTCAATTCAACCAAACTCCATAAATTAAATTTAGAAAAATATATACGTGAAAGAGAAAAAACCACAACCCAATCCAAATCATGTGGTGCTTGACTGCTTGGTGAGACCTGCGTAGCATCATCATCATAAAATAGGAGAAGGAAAAAAAACGGATCTCAAATAAAATAGATGGTGATGAACTAACTATATACTTCCTCCGTCTCATAATTATTGTCCAATTTATATTCACATTTTTAGTATAATTTGTACTAAAAATGAAATCTCAAACTGGACAATAATTTTGAGACGGAAAGAATATAATATTTTATAAAAATAGGCATAAGTGATAAGCCGACCAAAATAGGAAACTGTAGTTTCCCATATCTCAAATCTGAAATCCTCCTGTGGGTTGAATGGTAAACATCATTATCCACTTTCCTCCCCAGCCAACAGTCAGCCATCCATCTCCTCCACTTTCCCTTAGCCGCCACAAACATCAAGATCTAAATCATATTATTCTTTCCGTCCCAAAATTATTAACTACGGAAAAAGTATATTATACAGATGAATCAAATATATGATTATATCGGGTTTCAATTATAGTTTTAAATTAATTTATGAATAATAAAGTACTCCCTCCGTTCCATAATTATTGTCCTGTTTGAGTTTTCATTTTTAGTTCAAATTATACTTAACGTGAAAATCCAAACTAGACAATAATTATGGGACGGAGGGAGTACCTCTTAAATCATTTCAGAACTTAAGACAATTCGTTATCAAATCTGATTCTTTTAAAGCATATTTCAACTTCACCGATTGGAAAAAAAAAAAAACACACACACACACACACACACAAAAAAGAGCTTTCTATTACCCTAACAATCTCTTAGAGCAACACCATGCGACGTTTTCCCTTCGTTCATTTTTATTTCCACATTTTGTTTTTTTTAATATAAACATGTAAAAAACGTTCTAAATAAATCATAATATTATAAACGATTTTGATTAAGGTGGTTTGTTTTGTCAAAACCCCCTCTCGCTTGTCTAGCTATAGGTTCATTAATTAACATAATCTTAGCCTCTTTGGCAATCTTATCATTTTAATGAAAGTGTGAATCTTCATTTTTATTTTGATTTTTTTTTTCAACTGAAAGGGTCAGAACCTTCTGTTTTTTACGTGTTGTTCAAATTTGTTATAATTCTTACTTGCAGTTAATGATTATTATATTATAGTTCATGAATAGTGTAAATTATTTCATAATTATCTCGTTGACTTGACTAGCTACAAGCATTTTCTATTCACTGACAGTGTATACACATTTTCTCATTTTATAAAAATAACTTATTTTCTTAATAATGGTTTTGTTCAACTAAGTTAATTAATTAATATAGTCAACGAAGTGAAGAAAATAAATTTGGAATGTTTAGACTACAAATCAATAAAGCAGCCATATGGGACCTAACGATCCAGAAATGAGAATATAATTAAGAAGGACAAACTTTAGTGGGTTTGATCTACGTATTTTAGTGGCAATATACATAATGGTGTAGTAAAAAACTTTAATTATGAGAGTCCATTATAGTTGACCACTTCTTTAGGTTATATTTAGTAGTAGTAGATGCAAATGATATTAGACCACGTAATTAGTTTTGGAAAATAGCACTAATGAATAATATCGCCATCGCATTGAACACTTTGAAAATAACTTTTGAAAGATGGTGTTTAATTGTGATTTATTTTAAATTTTTTTTTTCCCCGCCCTTATTTATATGCATTTTTTAAATTAGAGGGATTATTTTATTCACCGTATACATTTGATGAAAAATAGATAAGCAGCCGACATGGTTCGGAGTTTCATCTTACTTTAGTGGGTTTTGATATTTTTTGTTTAAACTACACGATATATACAAATTTCTATATTTCCTTAATTTAAGGCCACATATCTAATAGTATGGTTTCATATGATAAGAGGATTTCTTTGTGTTATATAGCTCTTGAACGGTCCTAGATATGCACTTTATAAAAGCGACTTGTTTAACACATTTTAGTGTTGTTTTTCACCTTTTATCAAATAAATGTTGATGATAATTTATAGAATATCAATATAAATGATTCCTTCCTCTAAATAATTAGTATTTTCTCGGAGAAAGATTAGAATTAAAAGTCGTAATTTTCCTTTGTTTTTATACATTTTTGCTGTTCAAATCAAACAGTGGAGACATACGGGGAATTTATATCTTATTAAGTGCATATGTAATATTAGTTGAGTGAAAAAGTACATGATTTTTGTACTTATTAGTAAATCAAGAGGTCGCTTTTGAGGTTACTATAATATACATACTGAAATCAGTTCCAAATAATCAAATTCAAAGGTTCTTGTCAAATTCAAAGTAGCCAAAGTGGTTGTGATCGAGTGGAAGAGATTCTTCCACCCTTAACCATAAGTCGAGGGTTCGAATCTCGCCATGGTCATGGAGCAACCTTAAATACTTTGGCTAGCTGTCCCACCCAATGCAAGTTTGGCTAGCTGTCCCATCCAGTGCCTACAATTCGACGAAGGAGATTACCTTGCAAATATGCAAAAAAAAAAAAAAATCCTTATTTTTTTTCCTTTTTCTTTTTTCCCATATAACTATACCGTGTAAATATGAAAACAAAAAAGTCCTTGTTTTTTTTTTCCTTTTTCTTTTTCCCATATAACTACAATTCCAAAAAAAAAAAGTACAACTCCAAAACTAGAATCTGTGAATTTTATCCACGTCTCGTCTCCTCCTCCTATAAATGTTTTTTTTTTTTTTTATAAATACTGTATGTACTATTATACACATAAGAGAAAAAAGGAAAAGGAAGAAAACGGAAAAAATACTAGAAAGTCAAACAAAACAAGAAAAAGAAAAAAAAGACGAAAGATGAAGAACAAGGCGTCGTCGTTTAGTTTCCTTATTTCTTTTCCGGACTGATCAACCAACATGCACCTCTCCCTCCTTACTTCTATAACCTCTCTCTCTCACACAGTCACGCACTACCAACAACTTCCACAACTCCTCTTCCAAATTCTTCTCTGTTTTTTTTTTCTTTCTGTCTCTGCCTTTCTTCTCTGACATATATATATATATATTTATAGTAGACTATATCCACACTTAATTTGGAAAAAAATATATAAGAAAGTTGCGGAACAAGAATTTTGATACTTTTATCAATGGCGGAGTCGGTGGAGCTGCCGAGTCGTTTGGCTATATTGCCTTTCAGGAACAAGGTGTTGTTGCCTGGGGCGATTATTCGAATTCGCTGCACTTCTCCCAGCAGGTATTTAATTTTTGTGTTAATCTTTAATTCCGGTATAATATTGTCAATTATGTACAGATTTTTGGTTTATGTTGGTGGCTTGTGTTTTCTCTCCGACTTCTCAAGATGTTTTACTGTGTTTTCGTCGTCGCGTGTGAATTTAGCTGCAATCGTGGGAAGAACTATCAACTATTGCAAAGAAAAGATTACAAGTTTTTGATCGTTGAGCTGAACTTGGAGCTATAGGCTTTTTTTATTTATTATTATTATTATTTTTATTTGTAGTGATTTCTTCATGAATCGAAATTTTCATCAGTTGCATTTTGTAATGAATTAAGTTGAATTGAGCGATGTTTTAAATAGTTAACATGAAGGAAAAAAAGGGGAGGGAAAAGAGAACACGTAGGTACCTTCCGGTGTTCTGGGAGGAACGAGATTAATATTGTAGCAATGTAAAATGCTCTATTAATTGCTCTAATAGTCACAAATAGAGAACATATATGGTTGATGCTTGGTGCTGGTCCTGCTCTAAAGTAGTGGTGGTTGACTTCTTTTTTGTTGGATCATATGCATTGGGATGCCAACTGAACAGGTGTTTTTACTTTGTCCAGTGTGAAATTGGTAGAGCAGGAGTTGTGGCAGAGGGAAGAGAAGGGGTTGATTGGCATTCTCCCAGTAAGAGATTCAGCGGAGACTGCTACTGTGGCCTCCTCCTTGTCTCAAGGTGATTATTGATACTTCAGTGGGAGGTTGCTGTTCTCTTCATCGAGTTTGAACATCTGTAAGTTTTAACATGGTAATAATGTATACTTGCAGGTCTCGGAACTGATACAGTGGAAAGGAACCCTAAAGGGCAATTAGGATTTCCGGATGCCCACAAACATGAAGGCAAAAATGCGCAGGAAGTTATTCATTGGCATAATAGGTAATGTTTGCTGGATGGCAGTTCTTACATGTCCCTAGTTAGTGTATGTGATGATCAACTAATATGATCCACCCACCCCATTCAGCTAAGCTCACTTGTGGTCTTCACGTAGGGGAGTTGCTGCTCGAGCTTTGCATCTCTCAAGAGGAGTGGAGAAGCCCAGTGGGAGAGTGACATACATTGTTGTGCTCGAAGGTCTTTGCAGATTCAATGTGCAGGAGCTGAGTACTAGAGGGACTTATTATACTGCTCGGATTACTTCTCTTGATATGACAAAGACTGGTAAGATGCTACGTGTATTTGTTTCTGAGTGAAATTTGATCTGTTTGCTAATGAGGCTTCCAGCAGAATATTGGTTCTAATTCCTCTTAGAAGAATGTCTTCATTTTCGTCAGTGAACACATTAATTTTCTAAATTTAGTTGTCAGAGTTCTCCAATAACTTAGGCATGGGAAACAAACAATCTTCATTATAACTTATTTGTTGACAGATCTAGCCTGCTGTGTGAAACACTTTCTAACATGCTTATGAAACTTACCTTCCTTAGCTGCTTTTATGAATTGCATGTTCAACCATTGGTTCCATTTTAGAAATCAGCTGCTTAGTTAACACTTAAGAGTCACATTCTTAACAGAAGCTTCTTTTAGTTACAACTGCACCATAATTATTGTGCTATTATTTATGGCCATCCCACAAACCAAATGACCCTCCCTATCTGAATGCGATCAGCGTACAATATATTTATCAGCGTACTATGTTGCTCAATCCTTCGCCTTTAAGTTGAGGTATGGGAGTCAGAAAAGGACTGATGGCTTGGGAACTATGTTATCTATATTTTATGGTTTGTGTTACCAAATGATTTTTACGTTAAAATACTAAATTTCTTCTTTTCTATATTTTTTAATAGAGATGGAACAAATTGAGCAAGACCCAGATTTCATGGCTTTGTCTCGTCAATTTAAAGCCACTGCTACGGAGCTTATTTCTGTTCTTGAGCAGGTATATTTTGCTCCTTGTAATATTGACCCTGTGATTGTAATTATGCATTGTGAAATGTGCAATTCGACCTTATTTTTATTCATTGCGAAGAAAATTGAATTTTAATTTAAGCACAAACAGTAAAGGAGGGTATGCCCATAATTATTACACTGAAGTCTATTTATGGGGTATGAATGAGAATTTCAAAGAATTTTCGGGCACTCGTTACCCTGTGATCGTACAAATGGTAGGTTGCAAGAAGTGGAGAAATGGATTCTCTTTTTTCCATGATCATAACAGTACAACTAGAATCGGAAGGAAATTTTGCAGAAGTATAACTAGACCAATAGAGGATTGGGCTACTAGATGTGAAAATAAATAAAAATGAGGGTAATAGGATGAAAATGTTTAAAAGGATGGTCAAAAGGGAAACACGCTCAAAAGGGAATGGGCATGGGCACAGGAGACCTTCGGATGCCGTAGATGAGTAAAATGTAGGATCATTTACTAAAATCATAATGGAAAGGGGAAGACATGCTAAGATCAGAAGTAAATGTTTTTTGAAACTTAGATGAGAACATGTATATTAACAGAGCATGATGGTGGTATATGATCCATATAGCCCCCTCCACCTAGTGAGATAAAAACTTAGTAGTTGTTGATTATAATGTTTTATTATGTGTTTCTTGGGTCTATTCAAGCTTTTTTGAGCTTGAACCTTTTGTTTTTATATGATTCCCCTTTTGTGGTAATGAATTTTCTTCCCCATGAGATTTTTGAAGGTTGGGACAGCTCCTTTATTTACAGGGAAGTAAGGAATATTCTTCAAATTTTGAGCCCTGCATTACGAACAAGCTTCAAACTTTTTTCTATCTTTTCTCGTATGTGGAGTATCACCTGTTTTCAAATTCTGTAGATGATTTCTCTGAAATTACTCGTCTTCACCTTTGTAGAAACAAAAAACTGGCGGAAGAACGAAAGTACTCTTGGAGACTGTTCCAGTACACAAGCTGGCAGATATTTTTGTTGCTAGCTTTGAGATTAGCTTTGAAGAGCAGCTATCCATGTTGGACTCAGTGGATGTGAAAGTGAGGATTTCTAAGGCTACCGAGTTAGTTGACCGGCATTTGCAGGTATTGGCTCTTACCGAACATATCATTTGGCGGATTTCCTTTGTGACAGTCATCAAAGTTATGCACATTTACTTGTGCAGTCAATTCGTGTGGCAGAGAAGATCACACAGAAGGTTGAAGGACAGTTGTCAAAGTCACAGAAAGAATTCCTTCTCCGCCAGCAGGTTTGTTCCTAATTTATAGAGAACCACAACAAATATTAATTTTGTTCTGGTTCTCAGCATCCATAGTAATTGAATGATATACAAGGGAGTTAGTGGCTGTAGCCTGTAAGTTGTTAATATCACTGTATTTTTGCTTATTTTAGTATTCTTGCACAAAGGTCTCAAATTCCCATAATTTTTCTGGAGGAATGCACTTTAATAATCTTCCAGTACTCATTGATTTTTCACTGAGCACCCTTCAGTCCGAATGGAAACTGAAATAAGATCTGGACACTATATGATGTTCTTTCTTCAGTGTTTAAATCTTATTCCATAATGGATCTAGCATATTTGGTGATTATGAATAGCTTTCCATATGCAATGTAGTTCTCATCTTTCGCTTTCTTTTTACTTATGTTTTATTTTGATCCAGGGCATTATCTTCAATTTGCTTGTAAATGCTTGTTCTTTCCTCTTAAGACCATTTGTTTTATCTGTTAAAGTAAGTTGACGGGTTAGGTTTATTAAAGCATATAATGAGATGGGTTTACAGGAATCAGCTTAAAAGACCATTAGATTAAAGAAAAGTTGAATTACTTAGAGAAGTATGTGTTTGGGGTGGTCCTTTTTCACTACCTCTGATGGTACTAAGATGACTTAGTAATTGTGGGAACTGTTGAAAATTCAAAAAAACCTGCAGTTTTATGGTCTAGGCATGGTTTCTGATTCAAATTTGTATGTTTTCGGGAACTTGTCCGTGCTTGACATAGTTACTTCTTTGCATCTCATCTCTTGCAACAACAAAAGTTAATGCTTCTGGCTTGTAAGAGAACATCTTATCATCTCAAATGAGTTGTTCATGCTTCTTTTCCTAATCTGATGTGTTGGTTTCTATTTATATTCACTGTTTAATTGCAATCTAGATGCGGGCTATTAAGGAGGAACTTGGCGATAATGACGATGATGAGGATGATTTAGCTGCTCTTGAGAGGAAGATGCAAGGTGCAGGAATGCCTTCAAATATCTGGAAGCATGCTCAAAGAGAACTGAGGTATTACGTAATCCACTAATGTTGAATGCTTAAAGCATGTTTCAGGCAATCACATTTTGAACCTGTTTGTTTCAATACCTTTTTTTAGTTTAAAAAATGAACACTTTTCCAACCATCTCATGTTAATTTACGGGGAAGACTAGGCTTATTCGCAACCTTTTTATGTGCTTATGGTTCCTCGCAGTCTTTTCATGTAGAGGCTTATGTTATGCGCCAAGGAGATAAAATAAGTTGAGTTTTAACTGATAAAATGAATTTTACCTTATGTGGGAAAGCTTTGTGCTGGGTTGAGTGTAATTGATGATAAAGATTTTTAGTTTGATGAAAAAATATAGTTGTTTCTTATTTAAAGTCTCCATAAGAAAGCTTTTGCTGGTATCTAACCTTGTAAAACTCGAAATGAACAAAGCCCGTTATTATTTTTGTTGACCATTCAGTGACAATGCTTTTATAAATTTAACTTTGTGCAAACTGATATCTTTTTCAGGCGACTCAAAAAAATGCAACCTCAGCAACCTGGATATAATAGCTCTCGTGTTTATCTTGAGCTTCTTGCTGACCTTCCTTGGCAGAAAGCTAGTGAGGAACATGAATTAGATCTCAAGGCTGCAAAAGAGCGCCTTGACACTGACCACTATGGCTTAGTCAAGGTTAAGCAACGAATAATTGAGTATCTGGCTGTTCGAAAGGTAGGAATCTCGCGAACCACGTGGCCACTTAAGTCTCAATTTTTGTTCTTTCCTTCCCTTTTCCGGTTTATTAAATTAAAGTAATCTCTTAATGCAGCTAAAACCTGATGCTAGAGGCCCAGTATTGTGCTTTGTGGGTCCTCCAGGTGTTGGAAAAACATCATTGGCTTCATCCATAGCTGCTGCTTTGGGCAGAAAATTTATACGCATATCACTTGGTGGTGTTAAAGATGAAGCTGATATCAGAGGGCACAGGAGGACATACATTGGAAGCATGCCCGGACGGCTTATTGAAGGATTGAAGGTTAGATTCACATGAAATGATTATTTTTGTTGCTACATCCTTGGAACTTTAAATGTGCCCTTTGGAACTTATAGAATAATGTAATCCTTTGTTACCATGTAAAATACCTGTATGCAAGTGCTTAGTAATATCAAATAAGCATTGTGAAGTTATTAAATTGGAGTACAAGCCATTCATTGATAGATATGCCGGGTGGAAGTGAATCAAATTTACTAATGATGCTTCCTTTGAGATATGATCAAAATCAATTACCATAACATTTTTTTAACTCTATATTGGTGCCTCTGTTTGTTGCCAGATCAGCTTTGGATCTTAATGTGTTTATGTGAAGGTGTGTTCATCATATAGTCATTTAGCATCTCTTGAACGGCTGTCATTGCTGTATATTTTTATTGGAAAATGACAGCCTGGTTCATCAACATTCAGATGAATCTTTGGTTATTGAACTGTGTTGTTGGAGTTAACAACATCCTCCTCCTCCCCCCCGCCCCCCCACAACAAAAAATAAAAAATAAAAAACACAACAATAACAAAAAGAAATGTGCTGTGGGAAAGCAATACCTGACGGTCCAAGCAGTTCTTACTCAATCCTCCTGCTTTTACTTGGATGAATACCCATGATTATATCCTTTCTCTGGAGAAGATAGTTTGACATTCTATTCCATTGTATCTGTCTCATTGGCAGTGTCTTTTATATCTGTGCCATGGCAATATTGTCGCAGTGTAGCTCAAGCTTTTCTTTAGTTGATCATTAAAATTTCTTTTCTTTATTTTCTAACAGAGAGTAGCTGTTAACAACCCTGTAATGTTGCTGGACGAGATTGATAAAACGGGGTCTGATGTACGGGGAGATCCTGCTTCAGCATTGCTGGAGGTTCTTGATCCTGAGCAGAACAAAACATTCAATGATCAGTATCCTTAATTTTTACTTTTTTATTTTATTTTTTGTGGTGTGCCTTTTCAAATATTTAGGTAGATAAACAAAACCAAGATTACTTTCTACTAGCTTGTTAGGATCTTAGAGTTTCTTCTGAGAGATGGAACCTCTGGTTTCATGACTTTTTACCTTTTTGTGCTCTTAAAAACATTTACGTGCAAACCTACTTTTGGAACCAAGTATTTTATTATACATTTCCCAAAGCTTTAGTTTTTTATTCTGCTCATTTTGCTGGTTAAAGACAGGAAATTCAGGGTTGTTCTATTATCAGAAGCCTGCCCGTGCTGGATTTTCTATCCACTTGGTTGCCCATTTATCTTGTTCTAGTTGTAGAAATTGCCAGTGCCACATATTGTGTAATACCTTAACCATTGTTTAGCTATCTAAACGTTCCGTATGACCTTTCAAAAGTCATTTTTGTCGCCACTGCAAATCGGATTCAGCCTATTCCTCCCCCGCTCTTGGACAGGATGGAGGTCATTGAGCTGCCTGGATATACACCTGAAGAAAAGTTAAAAATTGCAATGCAGCATTTAATTCCTCGAGTTCTGGATCAACATGGTCTAAATTCTGATTTTCTTCAAATTCCCGAGGTTAGTTCTATCTTTTTGTAGGCTATGAAGCCTTTCTTTTACCCATTTACCGGGCTCCTGCACCTTTTGTTTTTCTGTTTCTGATCTCTTTTGCTTGTCGATTCTTGTTCTGCTACATGGCTTCTTGATAAGAATGATATTGGGATCTGGCTGAACAGTAGATTGTCTCCTTTAGTTGAAGCTTGTTAGTTAAAGTTATACCCAAAAGCATGAACCTTTGCTTTTTACTTGAATGGTTGGCAGAGTCTATCTTAAACTTATACAACTATATTTCTAAAACAATAACCTTCTGGTAGGCCTCTGTTACTTTGGTTTTTGTCTTTTCAGATCAGGCAGTGTCTGTTTAAGTTAACATAGTTATGTGCCTCGTAAATAATGCCCTATCAAATAGCACGCATGTGTAAAAAACTGCTTGTTCTCTGAGATATTTATTTAAAACTAATTTATTATTTGTTGTTGCACGAAAAAGCCTTTATTGATTAGAAGATATATCTTTGTCCAAGTATCTTTTCCCTTGGTTTATTATCTAGTTTTCGTGAAACTTTTGCTGATTTTCATTGCCACTTTTGTCACTTGGGTTGGTAGGCGATGGTGAACATTGTCATCCAAAGGTACACTAGAGAAGCTGGTGTCCGAAATTTGGAAAGGAAATTGGCTGCCTTAGCTCGTGCAGCAGCTGTGACCGTTGCCGAACAAGAAGAAGCAGTGCCTCTGAGTAAGGATGTGCAGCGGCTTGGTCCGCCTCTGTTAGAAAGCAGGATTGCTGATGGGGCTGAAGTGGAAATGGAAGTCATTCCTATGAGTGTGAATAATCATGACATATCAAGTGCATTTAAAGTTTCGTCACCATTGATTGTTGATGAAGCTATGCTGGAAAAAGTTCTAGGGGTGAGTATTTTTTGTGCAGATGATACTATGATGTGTTAGAGAAAATGTTTCCGGTAATCTGGGGACAATGATATGTTATTTCATCTTATCTAAGCAATTTAAATATGCCAACCGACAATTAATCTTAAAGTTTACAGACTCTAGTTTCCACAACTGCACCCACTTAATAGAAAGAATAATGACAATTGTGAAGTTGTTGAAGAGACTGACTTCAAATTGTTGGATAACTGTGCAATTTTTGAGGAAATATCAATCTCAATAGTAGTAGGTAATTATGTGCCCAACCCAAGGCTGACTAATATAGTGACGATGCAGCCTCCAAGATACGATGATCGGGAAACTGCAGAACGAGTAGCTAATCCTGGTGTATCTGTTGGGTTGGTCTGGACAGCAGTTGGTGGAGAAGTCCAGTTTGTCGAAGCTACTGCAATGGTGGGAAAAGGAGATTTACATCTCACAGGCCAACTTGGGGATGTGATAAAAGAATCGGCACAGATTGCTTTAACTTGGGTGAGTTACCTTTCTCTTAGCTTCCTGTAGCAGTGTTCGGGAAAGTCAGTTTTCCAACTATGTTATGTTGTTTGCACCCTCAAGAGCTCGTTACCAGGTCTTGTGCAATAGTTATTTTGCCCGAAGATATTGCGAATGTACTTCTACAGTTTCCTCATGCATTATTTGTGGAAGTTTTCCAAAGATGGCATTTATGCTCATGGCTGAAGTTTTCCAAACATGGCATTTATGCTCATGGCTGACTATTATTCTCTCTTTATTTGTCAAATAGGTACGTGCAAGAGCAACAGAACTTAATCTGGTTACTGCAGAAAACAGTAATCTGCTAGAAGGCCGTGATATTCACGTTCATTTCCCTGCTGGTGCTGTGCCGAAGGACGGACCTTCAGCTGGTGTCACTCTTGTTACTTCTTTAGTGTCACTGTTCAGTCAAAAAAGAGTAAGAGCAGACACCGCTATGACAGGGGAAATGACTTTGCGGGGTCTTGTTTTACCCGTTGGTGGCATCAAGGATAAGGTACTCATATATCCGTAGAGTCTCTAGAGTTACCTGCCTTCATGTAAAGTACATCACTGATCTCCTGAAATGACTGACATGTTTAAAGAATTTGAAGTTTGAAACAAAAATGAAAATAGAAATTGCATGATTAAGTATGAGAGAGAAAGACGTACACCCCCGCCCCCCTGTTTTGGTGGTTTGGTGGCGGGCGGGGGGAGGTTTGGGGGGTGTTTGAACCATGGCTAAAGCTTATTTAGATTTGAGCAATGCTGAAAGTAACAGCCTCCTAAAAAGTGTTCACGGTTCGGTTGGTCCCAGTTTTTTAACACTTTTTAGGAGGCTGTTACTTTCAGCATTGCTCAAATCTAAATAACCTTCAGCCATGGTGCATGAAATTCTGTTTGCTCTTGATAGGATGGTAGATAGTGTTAGTTGAAATGTTTTGAATCTTTTGTGGTTAGTTTTTATGTTGTAAAAATTGATGGGTTTTGAAGTAGCTTCCCTCTTAACTTGGAAATGACATGTGGCTGCATGCAGGTTTTGGCAGCCCATCGATATGGAATTAAAAGAGTGATTTTGCCGGAGAGGAATTTGAAGGACTTGGTGGAAGTGCCGTCTCATGTACTCTCTAGTCTTGAGGTAACGCGTCTTGCAACCAAAATATATAATAATCACAATAAGCTTGGGGCGTAGGTATCATGTAGATGTGAAAAACTTTTTATGATGGGAAAGGTTATTAATGGAAGAGCTCATTATTCACTCAAATTTTGGCACTTACCATACTCTTGGCACAAAGATTGTCATTGTAATCTTTATCTGTTCTATAAGCAGGCATCAGGTAGATTGTTTATGCACTGAATTTTATTTTCTTTTTTACACAAGATGTTATAACATCGTTTGCAAATTAAATTTGTAATTTTTTCTTTTTTGGGGTGGAGGGGATCATGTAGGCTAACTTTACCAATCTCAGTACTTTGAAAGAAATTTAATTATTTATGTTTTTCTACCAATTGTAACTGGTTGAAGCAGATTATCCTTGCGAAACGGATGGAAGATGTGCTAGAGCAGGCTTTTGAAGGTGGTTGTCCTTGGAGAATACATTCGAAGTTATGACAGTCACCATCAAACTACCAACCTCGACTATCTATCGCCTAATGATCTGGCTGTTAAGCTTGTATACCGCGGATTTTTGTCAATCAAACGAAGAAGGCAGAACAAAATTGCCCAGATCTAGATTAACTGATCACCCCGGTACCACGCAATGGCTGAAATTTGCTGAAATTCAGTCCTATGTATTATTCTTAGCTCTTCACCCCATTGTAACTGTGAGCCACAGTTACCTTCTTTTGTTCTATATTTAACACAGGTCAAATTTCTATATAATATGTATCAGTTACCCAAGAATACACTTACTGTAGTCTTGAAGTCGATGACTTCAGCTGCAAGTTGTTGAGGTATTGGAGTAATATTATCCTATATGTTTTTCTGAAAGGTGTTCTGAGTAAATATTAAGAGAAAGGGACTGCATAAATGCAGGAACATCTTTTGTGGTGTTATTGTTAAAATCCTCTTGACTAACAAAAACACAAGCCATTGTTACTTATCGTTGGCCAGATCATTTCTTAATAATCTTGCACTAATCAGAAAGAACCACGCTGAGTTTAGTTAGAAGAAACGGCAGCCCTGAAGTTGAAATTTTTAATATTCCATTGAGGTAAACTTGCAAAAGCGGAAGTAGGAAACAAGAACTCTTGTATGATTAAGACTCGTACCATTCTTATTTATCTAAACAAGAAAAAAAATAAATCTTTATTCATTTCCAGAGGTACAAATGAATTATCCAGTATGTGCAGAACTTTGGAGCACAGATTTATTGGATTATTGCATAATACTGAATGAAATCTACAGGGAAGAAGTCTGAAGATTATTCTTGCTTTATTCGTTGCCTAGAGCTGGCATTCTTTCCATTCACCATTCATCGAGAAAGCCACAAGGACTTCTTGGATGTGTGCAGTTTTCCATATTTCTTCACTCTTGTTGTCCTCATTCAGCAGCCTATCATTCAATGCAGGATTCAGGTTAATCAGATGCAGAGATTGAACCTGTCTCAAGTTTTCAATACCCAAAGGCAACTCCTCAAGTGATGGAAGTTCAGACAAGTAGAGGCGCTTCAGACGAGGCATGGAGCCCTTCTCGATCATCACCCTTTTTAGTTCATTCATATTGCTGAGCTCCAATGTTTCCAGCTTCTTAAACCCTCCAGAGGTGAAATGAAGCTTTTCTTTTTCAGAAGCTTCAGTGAGACAAATCTCAACCAAATTGGGCAAATGCTGAAGGGATACAAGGGGGTCATCATCAGTGCTTAACCTGCTCCAAATGAGCTCAATCTTCATTACACTGTGGAGCTGATTTATCCATGGCGGTAACCTTTCTAACCTACCTCTTAAGGTTAGCCCGCGAAGATATTGAAGAGATGACGGAGCGAGAGGAAAGTTCATATCAATGACTTCATCTTTCTGAATTGCAGCAACATCCAACTCATGAAGGTTGGTAAGTTTCTTAAGGGAGGAGCACAGTTCTTTTCCATCTTCTTTTCTGAGGTTGGTAATCCCTAACTCTCTTAAATGGATGAGCTTCCCTAGTTCTCCAACTATTGTTGTTTTGTCATTCTGTGCATCTATGTACAGTAATGTATGCAAGAAAACAAGCTCTCCAATGTTTGACGGAGGTTTAAATCCATGAAATTGATACCCAGAATCTGGGGAATCAACTACTTGAAAGACCCTGAGGTGCCGAAGTTTATGTAGTTTGAGGATTTCCATTGGCAATTCTCTCACACTAGTTTCACCCAAATGTAGATGTTCTAAGTTTTGAAGCTTCTTGATGGACCTGGGGATATTTTTCACCTTTGTGCCTCTTAAAGACAAGTACTTTAGATGATGCAAGTAAAAAACACCTTTCGGAATTTCCTCCAACTTTGCTCCTCTGAGATCGAGTACTTTCAGCAACTTACTCGACATAAGCTCACCTAACATATCTTGAAGACACTCTAAAGTTCCAAAGGTGATTAAGGATCGAAGATGGTTGAAATTATGCCTTTCAAGGGTTCTATGCCAGAAATCATGGACAACAAGACGATAGACCTTCTCAGTCTCCCTAGTATGTTGTTCAGGAACTACCGTCATCATATTCTGCTCCTGTGATTTACACAGGATCATTTCTCTCACAAGGTCATGGACGCGGCACTGGTAGGGCGATCCGTCCCAAGACAATTCAACTATTTGTACTAAGCTTCTTCTAATGAGTTCCTTAAGATATTCTACTGCTACTTCCTCATATGTCATCATTCCTCTCCCTTTCACAAATCTTTCAGCTATCCAGAGTTGGATTAGGTGGTGACATTGTACATCACAGTCTTTAGGGAAAATGCTCATGTACAATAAGCAATTCTTAAGATGTGAAGGTAAGGTTTTGTAATTGAGATGAATCAATTTTTTGACCCTATCCAGCTCATCTAACCCATCTTCTTCCCCTCCAATACTACGTTGGACCATCTCCCATTCTCCGACATTGTTATGGTCTTTCGAAGCCAAAAGCCCACCCATTGTGACAATGGCCAGGGGCAAGCCCTCACATTTACTCAATATATCTTGTGCAATATGCTTCAAGTGGTAAGGGCAGTTATTATCTTTGAAAGTTCTATTACAAAACAGGTTCCATGACTCTTCAGGAGACAAAGGCTTCATTTTGTGAACATGATGTGTGCCTAGGCCTGATGCTTGTGCAACTTCAGGCATTCGTGTTGTTAACATAACACGGCTACCGTTACTACTCTCAGGCAATGCAGATTTAATTGAATTCCAGGAATTTACGTCACTTACATCATCAACGATAATGACATACCTTTTCTCCTGGAGCAAATCTCTGATGAATGATCTCAGACCATCAACGCCTGGAATGGATTCCACTATGTTTGAAATTGGCTTCTTGATTTGCTCATATATCTGCCGAACCAAGTCCTTGAAGAGCCCCACTGTGGTGTAATTCTGGTCGGCTGTAACCATAGCTCTGATGGGGAATTGATTCCTCACTTCTGGATCTTCATGAACTTTCTTAACTAAAGTTGTTTTCCCTATCCCCTGCATACCAACCACTGAGATAACTTTGAGGCCGGCGTCGCCTTCAAGGAGCTCAGAAACGAGCTTCTGTTTAGGCTCCTGGATGCCAACCAGCTTTGGTTTTCCCTCCAGGAGTTCATCTTTCCACCAGGCGTTTATGGTGGAAGGAACAGGCACCGGCGCAACATGGTGGGGAAAATTGTTTTCAATGCGGCTGTACCTCATGTGCGCGTCTGAGATGTTTGTGATTCTGTTCTTGATGCTTTGTATCTCACCAGCAATGTTCCGACGAGCTTTCAACTTCTTTATCCCCAGGCAAGCTCTTTTGCAGCGGCCGCAGAATCCTTTTTCATGGCGGTGAGCAAATAGAAATGTGAATTCATCCAGCAGATCCTCAATGTCGTAAGCAGCGTCGCGCACTTGCTTGATCCATTCTTGAACTCTGGGATTATCATCCTCTCTGGCTTCTGCGGCTTCGAGGAATGCTCTCATATGACCTAGTTCATCTTTGATGCTCTGGACCCCTTCTCTGATCCCACCCCAGAGACGTCCTTCTTCAGAGAGAATTGTTGTAAGCTGATTTATCACAAAGGAAACAACTGTGTCTGCTGCCATTGTTTATGGTTTGGTTTTGCTGTGGTGGAAATGGTTTGTTTTTTTTTTTTATTATTTTTTTTTCCCTTCCTTGGCTCAGTATTTGCTGGTGGAAATTTTCTGAAGGGCTTTGTTCTACCTTTAAAGGGCAAATTAAACCATGGGAGAAGCAAAGCATGAATTGAAATCATGGCCAAGAATTTGATTATTGAAGAACCTACAGTAACCTTTATTCCCATTCTTTCCTTGAAATTTGTCTTGAAGAAGAGTGAAAAAGAGATTTAAAACTAACTCTTTGGTGCTTCTTTGATTCAAAACAGTTTGGTGGTAGGGTTTGCACAAAGAGTGTAACTGTACATATTCTAATATCATTGCTATGGAATAAATCAATGGCCATAAGGAATGGGATGCTTAAAATTAAGTGAAGTCCCACATTGTGGTTTGCTTTGATACAAAAAGTACTATGCGAGTATTTGTCTGATCCTCCTATCCAAATATAAGTGTTTCAAACTAAACATATTTCCATCATCAGAATCAGTTGCTGCTTTGATCTTGTTCGTGATGATGATTTACACCTAGAGCTTTTATTTTTTATTTTTTATTTTTTTTTATTTTTGATGGGATCCGTAGTCCCACTTGTTGTGACCCGAGTCATTCTTCATGGGTCGAGTTAGATCCAGTCAATGAAAGAGTGACCACCGGGAATCATGATTTGCTATTATGAGAATAAAGGCAAAGATCCATTCTTCAACTTTATACTCTTGCCTAGCCACTTCTAGAATACAGACAGAGCAAAAGGTAGGAAGAGAATAAAGCCAACCTTATACTCTCCTTAAAAAGGCTAAATCAGTGTTGAAGAAGGAAAAGTCCAGAACTTGTTCCTTAGACTGACAGAAGCCTCTCCTCCGACAGTAACTTTTCCTCCGGAAGTAGTTTCTTCTCCGGCAGCGACTTTCTCTCCGGAAGTAGTCTCTCCTCCGACAGTGACTTTTCCTCCAGAAGTAGTTTCTTCTCCGGCAGCATTTTTTCCTCCGGAAGTAGTTTCTTCTCCGGCAACGACTTTCTCTCTGGAAGTAGCTTTTCTTAAGGAAGTAGTTCCTCCTTCGGTAGCGATTTTCCCTCCGGACGCAATCTTCCCTCCGGCAGTGGCTTTTCCTAAGGAAGTAATTCCTCCTCCGACAGTGGCTTTTTCTCCAACAGTAGTTTTTCCTCCGGCAGCTACTTTTCCTCCAGAAGTAGCTCCTCTTCTAACAGTTTCTCTTCAGAAGTAGCCTCCTTTTCGATAGCTTCCCTCCAGAAGCAACTCCTCCTTTCAGAAGAAGTTCCACCTTCGGAAGCAGATGATGCTTCGACAATGATTTTCCTTCAGACAACTTTCCTCCGGAAGCAGCTCCTTGTTCGGAGGCAGCTCTCCTTCGACAGCGGATTTCAATCCGGCAGCTTGCGTTCGGAAATAACTCCTCCTTCGGATGTGGCCTTTTCTCTAGCAGTAGCTCCACCTCAGGCTAGCTTTTCTCGGTAAAAACCTCATCTCTGGCGGTAGCTCCTTTGACCAGCCTCACTTCCATATGGTGTCTGAAAGCAACACATCTTACCGGAGGCACTAAGTTCTCCCTCTCATTTCGGAAGTGCAGCAGGTTTCGGCAGTAGTTCTTCACGGAGTCTATTATGTATAAATGTACCCCATGTCGAAGGTTGGATCTTAAAGGAGCAACATCCTACTCAAGTAAGTCCTCAAACAAAAGGTTCTTAACCCTTTTACGTGCATTATGTGCTTTCCGGAACTAGACTTATGCAATGATTTTAATCATACGAGTTATGCTTGAGAATGTGTTAGCATATACGTGGAAAGTTTTTAAATTGATCGAGAATACATGCATAACCCTAAAAGGGATTGTTATCATGAGTATATAGCAAGCGGTTTTCAATCTTTACTTTTAATTAAGTCAAGATAAATATAGGCATCAATTCTCATTTTAAATGAAAAATGCCTTTGTTTTAATCATGCCTCAGAATGCATGCTAAGACGAGATAACTTTTATAGTACAAATTTTTTGGTGCTTCCAAAACCTTTAACCTTATCACTTGGAGCAGCTCTTCATCTTGAATTCCTCTTTCTTCTTTTCCAAAGAAAAAAGGGGGAAATGGGGCTAGTGTGACACTTCACCCCTTTTAGCTATTGTGTAATCTACTTTTAAGATTATTGAAAAGCCTTTAAGATTATTTTGTTATTATCCTCCGGACATTAACGGAGTACTAACAAGTGTGCGCTCTTGTATGTTTGGCACGTCGCTAACTAACTAAACAAGTACAACTTCTTCAAGGCTTGGGAAGTCCAATCACATACACTATTATCTCCCTTCAAATGTAAATTTACAAGTAATGAGTGAGCATTCTTGCGTGTTCGGAATGACCCCCATAAGCCGATCGACGTAAGCTCTCACATGCTAGGCACATACAACACCCTTATAGACGTTGACAGTAACTTTCAATAGTTACCAGTACATATCCAATCTATTTCAGATCCGGAGCACTCATTCTAACACATAAGAAGGGAGCAATATGTTCTAAACTTTTATAAACGACGGACGCATAAGAAGCGCACAAGCCAACCTTAATTGGTTGCCAAGCGCAACGTCATAATTCTTACAAAGACAGACGCATGCTAGCACTCAAAATATGTCATGACAATTAAAATCAGACCAAAGCACACCTTTGCTCAATATGATCCGAAACAGACTTCTGGCAGCAAGAAAAGGCTCAATATGATCCGGAACAGACTTCCGGTAGTAAGTAGAAAATTTACTACTGAAAGCAAGAAAGGTAACATCTATCTCAAACTTTGCAAACATTGCAAAAGTTAGTGTATTTACCTTTAATTTTCCTTTCAAATGCAAAAGAACAATCGAATTGCAAAATTCAAGTTATACCTTTTCCTTTTTGTTGAAAAAAGGGGGGAGAAGATGGGGTTAACACACACCCCTATAGTTTAAAATCACGTGTAAAACTAGTAGTTCTCCGGAAGGTAACCCCGGAAGTGACCTCTGGTAAGCATAGTAAATAATAGGATAGAATTCACTAGAAAATGTTGAAGTTTGACTTTGGGTAGTCCGGACAACTAGAAAACAATCCTTCTCTATGATTGTGATTAGAAACTCTATCCTCACGCACAAACCACACTATACATGATATTCTCATTCAAAATGGGCAACCATTATAAATTATCAATACCTCTATCTTAATTGATAGATTAGGTTGTAATCTTGGTTCCCTCCCTCATGTAGAGGAAAATAGGTTATCGCTCTTACTAAATCTATTAAACTCAAAACAATTATGGCTATTGATCTCATTATAAAGTGATCCAAATAAAGCCATACCATGCAAAAAGTAGCACCCATCCAATTCAAAATTCTATATAAAGAAAATATACCTCTCTTCCCTTAGTTTTCTTAGCTATCAAGCCTTCGCAAGCACTCCACATGAATTTGGAGATGTGCTTAAGGCTAAAGCTAAACATACATCATTGGACACCTCACATAACCATTAGTTTGGCTGAGGTTTCGTCCTCTGTACTCAGAAACATTAATACTCCTTCAGTTTGGCCATAATAATAAGTATTGTCTTGGTCTGAACGAACAAAGCAAAAACCTTGTTTCACCTCACAATGGTCTGGAAAAGCCTTCCAATAGCTTTTCTAACTATAGAGCAACTCTAAAAGTTCATTCCTTGAACACTAATCCATACCCAAAAGATATATCCCTACGGAACTCCACTGCTCAGATTTGTAAATAACCATCAAAGTCACCCTAATTCCAGATGACATCACTTCTCGAAACCATTATTATCTATGAAAGATCTATGTGGATCCAAAGGATAGATAAGCATAGGTCAGCATGTTTCTCATAACATCATCACTTATCTGTCTCCTAGACCTTTGTTTTGGATTCCACTTATCTCTGATAACTCTCAAAGGACAACCACTTTACTCAAGAGATTTATTAATAAAATGTCTCTACAACTTGAAAATTTATCATTAAAGTTTAACCTCTTACTATGACTGACCTCAAAATCTATACCGTTATGCTTCGGCAACATGTAGGTTCCGGATGCCATTGCTATACTTTTGTTCCGAAAATCCGAATTCTTCCGGATCTGTTGATATTCACTTTCATTGTTCCCTCTTTTCTTGTTTCAAAAAAAGGGAGAGAATGAGGTAGGATTACACATCTATGAGTCAAAATACTCAAAGTTTGGTAAACTTACACCTTTAATCCTTTGAATGAACCATTATTCTAGATGATCCTACCTTTGTCGAAAAGAAAAGCATAAGTCTCATTTAGAGACCATTGCCACAACAACTCTTTGACCTCTGAACGACCTTAGTCCTCTTCTAGACAACCATAAACATGCTTGTCTTATTCTAATTTTTCATCATCTCGGCAATCACTTAACTTACGAATGAGTATGAATCTCTTCCGGAAGCTCGTCACTTTCACCATGCCTTCGGATGAGTAGGTCTCCTCCGGAAGCCGAATGCGTTGATAATCACTTTGCCTTTTGATGAGTGAGTCTCCTCCGGCAGCCAAACACGTTGATAATCACTCTACCTTCGGACGGGTATATATCTCCTCCGGAAGCCAGAAGCGTTGCTAATCACTCTGTCTTCAGACGGGTATATGTCTCTTTCGGAAGCCCATTACCTTGACAAGTCTCATCCCCTAGATCTTGAAAAGCATAAGCTTCCTTCGGTTGATTATTGCTAAAAAGCTCTTGCTTCAATCCAAATGTTGAAGCTCTTTCTTTCGGCTCCTAATGCCGAAGCTCTTTCTTACAGCAATGTGATGAATAAATCTCATGCATATCTAACTAAACCTTCAACTTATTAAAAGTTCCTAGGTTAGAGATTCGAACTCGACCAAAAGCCTAAAAGCCACGACTAGAATTTAAAAGTCAATAAGGCTCTGGTTCATTGATACTTCCGTGACTATATTTAATTATCAAAAGGATTAACATTATCAAATCCATCATCTGTATGTGATGAGTGTTAAATTGGGAGTTGGAAATTATAGTATATTACTATAATTCTAGGTTTTGACCTCCCTTAAAACAACAAGTACTCTTCAAGAAGGAAACCTTTTAATAATGTAGTAACCTCCGGAAGGTTTCAAAACCCTCTCCTTTGGACAAAATTCAGTTAATGCTATTTAGTTTGATGTCCATACAAATACTTGAATAAACATCAAACTAGGGGAGAATAATACCTATGGTATGACAATATAACATTTATTTTGTCATGAAGTTCTCTTTCTTTAGTTCGAAAATATAAACTCCAATTACTAAAGAACTTATGTTTTCAAGTTCATCCTTCAGTCTTAATATAAGTGGACGATGAATCATTCGGAAGGTAGCTTTGTCATTTGTGACTTAATACCCTCTCGACAGATTCAACACGAACAAGTCAGAGGGTATAGGTGCATTATGACTTGACTTCCGCAGAAGTTAAGCACCGATACGTGGGGTTTTCATCTCTTCTCTACCTTCCGGAGCAAATCATTGTGACAAGTCCATCATAGACAAGTCAAATGGCTAAACACACTAAAGTCTTTCTCCTTTGAAATTCGAAATCAATTTGCAGGGATTCGGTATCCCATCCGTCCGAATGTGACAAGTTCATCATGAACAAGTCAAATGGTTGTACAAACCTTAGTTTAACCTCTGCGATAATAGATGCCAATCTTCCGAACTAAGGTGCTCTAGCACTTCAAGCTCGGGGCTCAGAAATTTGAGAAAATTCATATACTTAGAAAAGATCAATCTTCACAATAACTATCATAAGCCATTTGGGTTCGTGGTTAAGCATAAAATGCTATTAAAAGAAAAAAAAAACGTTCAAAACAACTGCTTAACAAAATACAAATGAAGGAAAGTACTTGAGGGTCAACTCTTTCTCTAGTATTTAGCCCAAAAGCATAATCTGGTAAAAGCTCATGCATCCGGACCGCTCGTAACGGAACCATCTCGTAACGAGACTCTAGCCGCTCCCATAATATAATAAATTCATTAATTTTTTTCATATGATATAATGGTAGAAAAGGTTAATGCTATGCTCATAAAACAAAACGTAGAGATCAATTAGGAGAAAGTTTTCTAAAATGAGAAAAATAATATTTAGTAATTAAAATAATTATTTGGAGAAAAAAATTTGTAGAAAATAAGAAAACCTGAAAAAAAAAAAAAAGAATCCGAGATAATAGTGAAAATTGAAATCATTATTATAAAATTAATATATATCTTGAACACACGCGCAATATGTGTTGATGTAAACAAATCAGATGATGAAAGAGGAACATTAATCAGTTGTTTGCTAGTATTGCTACAATGTTAACAACGAGTGAACTGTTTATAGCACTAAATACCTGATTGAAATTATAAAATAGAAAAAAAAAATCACGATCAAAGTGGTATTAATGACTATGATCAATTACAGCTTCTAACCCCAGAAAAGATGATGGTATTGTCCTGGTGGTCTCTGATATCTACTGGCAAGTACTTTTTAGTTTCACTCCAGTTTCGTCTTATCTTGCTGCTACTTCAATTTAACCGAGTGGAAAGCAATTTGAACTGGATTAGTCCATCTTGAGTTTTCAAATTGCTACTGTTTTAGTAAAAATATTTAATTTCAATATAAACTTTTTTTTTAGATAGAGCAAGTATACTTTCCTCAAACTTGATGTTCAAAAAAGAAGTTTAGGGAGACAAGTAGATGGAGATTATCCAGCTTTCACACATGAAAAGGAACATTCTACACTTACAATAGAGATGAAGAGTTAGTAGAGATTGTTAATGCAAGTGGAGAATTAAATGATACTCCATCCTTCCCAAAATTAATATTCAGTTTGAAAAAATCCAACTGGACATTAATTTTGGGATAGAGAGAATCCTATTTCAAACAATGTTCATAGACATGATCTACGTTGAAAGATTCTTGGTCCAATCAAGAGTTAAGAAGATAAAAACTGCACTCAATAAAATCTTATAAAGTCTACTTGGTCTAAAGAAAGTGACAACTTTGAATATTACAAGTTTAAAAATATTAATCTGTTGCAAGTGTTTGCGTAGTTTGTTTCCAATATTAGTTGTTGGACTTTGTTTTTCTCTTGTAACTTTAGAAAATTTCGTTCATAATTTTGATTTCTTTTTGTTGGAGAAATAAGAAAAAAAAGATTGGCTGCTACAAAACCAAGAAAGAAAGAAGAAGAAGAAAAAGCCATATGCTGGCCTAATGTGTATTTTGCTCGTCTTATTATTTTACTTGGTCTTTTGTTAGTTTTTGTTTTTTGTTTTTTTTGAAAAGATGAGAACTATTATTAATTTCATAGAACCTGATACATCATAAGCCATACGATCGGCATTATTTACCCTCTCCCTACTAACCTTCTCGATTTTACATATTTGGAAATACTTAGCTAGATCTAGTACATCATCAACTAAAGCTGAATACCACTGAGAGACTAACTCAGTTCCTTGGAAAATTTTGACTGTTTTGATACTATCAGTCAGAATGCAAATGTCCGTCCACCCATGACAGGCTGTTAGTTCTGCCTGTAACGGTTCCAAAGCCTGACATGACTTAGCCAATTCTTTGATGACATTCCCTTCAGAATCCATGGTCACCACCGCCCAACTTGCCCTTCTTGTCTGTTTCCGAAAGGATCCATCGACCTCTATTAGCATCCTCCTACCTTCCGCATGAGATTCCTGATTCAGACCACATCTGTTCCTGCGGTTGATGATTCTTTGGGACGTATATTATCATTCAACCTTGATTGCCTATAATCCCTCCGTACTTTTCCATGTAGATGGGCTAATCCGTATGCCTCTGACAAAACCTGCTCTGGTTCCCCTAATTCACCGTCCCATATTTTCCGGTTCCTTGCCATCCACAAAGCCAAATGATAGTAGCCACCAGGACTCTATCCTCTTCCGTTGGTGCATGTTCTATCCAGTCTGTAAACCATTCTCTGAAGCTACGTCTCTGACTCTGAGAGAAGTCAAAACCAAATGGAGAACGACGCCAGACTACCTGGGATTCAGACACTCCAACAGCATATGTTCTACCGTCTCCTCTGTTCCGCTACATCTTGGGCAAATCGGTGGAATGAGGTGGCCCCTTATCCACAGAGCCTTCGCTGTAGGACATGCATTCACCACCGCCCTCCATAAGAAAAACTTGACCTTTTGTTGAACTCCTAATCCCTAGAGCCTTTTCCAAAACTACTCTTCCCCAGGCTCTTCCATCGGCCCTTGTTCCGAGGTCTCCACTCTCTCGTCATCTTCCATGTTCATGGTTAAATGATATGTTGACTTTACGGTATACCGTCATGATCTTTCCCTCCCCCAGTAAACCATCTCCCCATTTCTTCTGTTGTTTCTTCCAATATGGATGGACATTATATTAGGTATTACTTCCTCCGGAAAGAGTGCCTTAATCAGGTGTGGTTTCCACTGCAGTTCATCATCGATCAAATCTGCTACCTTAAGACCCTCCTCCATCTCTGTGTTCCCTTCTGGCGAGGGGGTTTTCCACTTTGGGAATCCACTCTTGCCTGACTAATATCGATCTCCTGTCTGCCACTCTCCACCTTATCCCTTTCCTAATCAGATCCCTTGCCCAAAGTATTCCTTTCCACCCCAACAATGCATGTTGAGGGCACTTTGCGCTCCAAAAGTCCTCTGTTTTACAGTACTTCGTTCTAAAAAATTTTGGAAACAAAGAACTTTCACCCCCTCCAATTTTCCATGCCAGTTTTCACAGTAAGGCTCGATTCATCTCTTCCGTCCTCCTCATCCCTAATCCCCCCCCTCCACTTCGACCGACATACATCCTACCACGCCTTCCAATGGATCCCCCTTCCCTCCCCATCTCTCTTCTAGATAAATCTTGCCAAAAACTGATCAATCATTTTTGTCGTGCCAACTGGTATCCGGAAAGCTCCCAAAGTATAATTGGTCATAGAACCTAAGACATGTTTCGCCAAAGTCACTCGTCCTGCTATAGAAAGATCTTCCACCCTCCAACCCTTAATTTTATTCTTTATCTTCCTCAGCAATTCCTCAAACATATCACTTTTCTTCTTAGCAAAGTCGAGATCAAAACCTAGATATTTCCCATCGAGGAGACGCCTTTTGACATTGAACATGATAGACAAATACGTCCCAAAGGATGTTTATGTACTCGGACTAAGTATGATGGAGGATTTGTTGAAGTTTATTCGCTGACCTGCATATTCCATAAACACCTTTAAGATCTTGCCAACTCCACCTCCTCTTCCATGAAATTCTCCATAAAGACAATGCAATCATCAGCAAACATCAGATGGGATACCACCGGCCCATGCCTGGCTATCGCGATTCCCTTCCTTGTTCTGAGAAAACGATCGCCGTTTAACAGTGATGACAGGGCTTGCTGGCACAAAATAAATAGAAAAGGGAAAAGCTGACACCCCTGCCTTAAACCTTTATTTGGCGTGAACTCATTTTGCATTTCCACATGCACAGAGACTGCCATTTTCACAGTTTTTATGCACTGTCGTACCCACCCTCGCCATTTCTCCAGGAACCCCATTCGCATGTACATGTAGTATTATTTATATACTGGGAGGGAAGTGAGGCCAATAAATTGTAGCCCTTTGTTTGAACAATTTAAAAAATGATGAAAGAGATTATACAAATTTGATGTAAACTACATACACAAGGCACCCTTTAAAAAAAAAAAAAAGACATACAAGGTTGTTCATGATGAAAGAGCAATACCAAATGATTGGAAGAGTGGGTTAATACGCACATGGGTGGCACTTGAACTGTTGGAGCATTTAGATTTGAATAGACTTGAAATACTACTACCAAGTTGAGTCATCAATCTTCAGTTACGATTTTTTTCTTTCTAGAAAGCTTGCGAGATTCCCATCGCCCATCGACCTTGGACAATATGGTGACGTGAGGATCGTGTCAGATTTTGCTGCTCTCGTCATTTTCTTCTTCAGATTCAGCTGCAATGTTCTCCAGTTTGTTTATGAGTTTTGAACTCGTACTCGCCAATTCCAGCACCTGAAGCTTACTCAAATTTTCAATACCTAGAGCCAACTCCTCTACCATCAGAAGTCCATCCATCCCTAGTCGGTTGATTCCAGTTATTGCACCCTTCTCGACTCTCATCCTTCTCAATCGTTCCATACGCACCAGACACAATGTCTTGAGCTTTAGAAAATATCCAGCTTGGAAACATAAACTTTCCCCTTTGTAGGCTTCATCAAGGAGTCTAATTTCGAACAAGTTGGGAAGATGTTGAAGTGTCTCTAATACTGGATCTTTAAAAAAATTACTCAAACTCAACGTTATTCTTTCCAACCCTTGAAGATTCCTTATCCATGGTGGGATCTCTTCTAAGCGGCCGACAAATTGTAACCACCGACTTGATTGAAGAGATGAGGCAGAAATAGGATGATTCACATCCAACATTTCATCACGTGAAGAAGCAACAACTAATTCTTGCAGATTGGTAAGCTTCTCAAGTGAGGAGCAAAGTTCTTTTCCATCTTGTCTCAAGCTTTTAATCGATAAATCTCTTAATTTGATTAGCTTTCCAACCTCCTTCATTATTCCAGTCCTATCGCTCTCTTCTACATCCACAATTCTTAATACTTGCAACTCAAGAAGCTCTCCTACTCCACATGGAGCTTTGAATCCATTATATGGTACTTCTCCAAACAACATACTGCCAGTGGCCGTCAGCAAATAACTGAAGCTAACATAGCTTGTGAAGCTTCCGAATCTCCATGGGTAGCTCTTTCACATTAGTGTTTATCAACTCTAGATGCTCAAGTTTCACCAGCGTTTTGATTGATTTTGGTACTGTTTCAATCTTATTCCCACTTAGGCCTAAACATTTGGTTGAAATAGTTTGAAAACCTCTTTTGGAATGTCTTCCAAATTGACGAAGATTGGTTTTACACTGTCGGCTTGGTAGTGGTACTTCGGCTAGGGTTTCCTGTAAAAGAGGGCCTCGGGGGTCTCCCGAGGGTAGACACTCCGATGCTTAAATCAGAAAAGGGTTTAAAGAACTTATGAGAGTAGTATTGTGTGCCTGAGATAGCGTACCCCAATTGTGGTGTGATCAACTCTATTTATAGGCATGAAGTTACCTGGGAGATAACCAAGTCTTATTAGGCTTCGTGTTGCTCAAACCGCCTCAGCAGAGTCGGTTGGACTCTTTACTCGATTGATGGATCGGTCCAATATTGGTGATGAATACGGACTCGTCACAAATCAATGCCTTGTAGGTCAACTATTGTTAACAATTTTTTGCTTAAGATCTTGCTTACGACAACTTTAGCTGGTGATCTACGATTCTCCCCCAAAAAAATTATAGATCGAACATTTGCAAGAAAAGGCTGGTTTTCTGGGCTAACGATGTTTTTAGGGATAGTTTGGTGAAATAAAAGTCTACGTACCACCTTCCCAGCTGGTCTTATGGGCTGTGTAGCATTGAAGATGGTCATCATGTTTTATTCTCTTGACTGGGAAACTAAAAATTCATGCAAGAGATCATGAATACGGAAGGTATAGTATAAACCATTATAAAGTGCCTGAATCAGTTGGATGAGACTCCTGTTTGCCAGCTCATTGACAATATCCCATCCAACTTCTTCAGCAGTCTGTCCTCCTCTCGCTTCTACAAAATGTTCGGAGACCCACAAAAATATTAGGTGACGACAATTTATGTAGAAATCTTCTAGGAAGATGCTAGTGTAGAGAAGACAAGTCTTTAGAGTGGGTGAGAGATCATTGTAACTCAAGGAAAGTATCCTTTTCACTCAAGGATAATCTTTGCAATGTTCTCAAAATGGGTAGGACAAATTTTGTCCTTGAATGTCTTCCGACAAAATAGAGTCCACGAGTCTTGCGAGTTCAAGAACCCCATTTCATAGACATGGCCATGAGATTCTGAGCTGGAGCCAGAGGCCACATCAGCTTTCTGTGTTGTGAGAATTACACGGTTGTGATTGTGGCTGTTCTCGGGAAGTACGAATTTCAAGCCATCCAAGAATTGGGTGTGCCATACATCATCAAACACAATCAAATACCTTCCTCGTTGCAAAGTGTCCTTCAAAAATGATTTCAACTGATAAGTAATACCCATTGAATCCAACATTGGTGGGAATGATTCCTTGAATTAAGCCAATATTTGTTGAAGCAATCCTTTCAGGAGGCCCTGAAAGTCAATTGTTTGGGAGACAGTAACCCATGAGCAGATTTGGAAATGATTATTCACGGCTGCATCATCATAGACTTTTTTAACTAGGGTGGTTTTTCCAAGGCCTCCTATGCCGAGCACCGCAATCACTTTTAAGTCGTTGGTGTTCAGCATCAAGAACCTCGGAAATGAGATCATGTTTGGGCCCATCAATTCCAACAAGTTGAGATTCTTCTGCCAGAAGGGCATCATCATCTTTTCTATTCCCTCCATGCATTTTCGGACCACTAGAATCCTGGTTAGTTATGACACTTCTCAAATTAAATTTTGAGGCACGATAACACCCATGTCATGTTAGGAGATCTTTTTAAGGCATTGGCTAATAGGACACTTAGCTTTCTTTTTCTAATTAAAAAAAATCCTTTACGGGAGAAAAAATGATATTAAGCAAGGTATTATATATTTTTAGTGCCTCAAACTTTCAATTGTATGCAACTTCTTAAACCAATTAAATAAGATATTTAATTTATAATAATATAATGCAATTTGCCATTTTATAAATTGTCTCATTATCATTATTATTATTATTTATTATTACTATTATATAATCTGGAGTTGCACATTTTTTTTCTTAAAAGGGTAAACTAAACAACACAATCTGGATTTTGTTTTATTCTTATTATATATGCATAATAACAACAAAACTGCATTAATAGCAAGAGTAATTTGCGTAAAAAAAAAAAGAAGTACAATCAGATTTTATTCACCAAGACCTTAAAGAAAAAATATATTAAAACTAAGAACAGAGGCCAAAAAAAAGAAAAAAACGGAGGCAAAAGAATCTGCCCAAAATAAAAAAATAAAAAAATCTAACCGAGAAACTGGAGAGCCAAAAGAATATTAGAATTAAAGCATTAATTGACAGAAAAATCCATTAGAAGTCTACGTTTCAGATTCGATAACCACCGTTTAATTTAGAATTATCTACCAAGAACAATATGAGTTGCAAATTCGCAGGTCTCACTTCTCAATACTACTTTCGAAGAAATTTTCAAGTCCACCCAACCTAGTACAAGGTAAATTCTTTGATCCTATTTCTTTTTCATTTTCAATAAATCCAATCTTGATTTGTTTTTTTATATCCTAATGATATGGGACTACTAGATGAATTCCATGGAAGATTTCGTTGATGTACAGTTTAGGTATTCATAGAGTAGGGGGTAATTATGATTTTTGAGTTGAAAAGAACTCAGATTTTCTTAAATTTTCTTTTACCATCTAATTAATTTCATGGATTGATATTTAGAGATGTGATTATCTCCTTACACATATGATTCTTTGAATAGTTTCATCTGATCTATAGCCATGTGGTTTCCCTGATTGAAGTCTTAAATTGCATAAGTAATATAATTTGTTTGGGCAAAATTCAATAATTTTCTCATATATATTTTTTTTATGTTGGTTAACTTGATTTTGTGTGTTTAGTGTGTTTTTGGGAAGTGTTTAGAGTAGTTTGCTAACCTGGCTGGTGGTTCCTTGGTCGTGATTACGGGGTAGTATAAATAGCTTCTCCTTGGAGAGTATATTGTTGGATTTTTCTAGCAGCCTTTGTTCCTATAAGCGTAATCATGCCTTAGAAAAGGATGGTTAATGGAGGTAACAAGCACAGAAGCATTTAGATGTGATCACGTCTTGCAAAAATTTGAGTGAATAAATTGGAAGTGAATTCTAAATCTAATGGTCGGAAGTGAATAAATTGGAAGAGCATGATTAAAACAAAATATTGGACTCATGGCCAATTGAAAATTTAGTAGGCTTTGAAGGAAAAAGAGTTTAACTTGATCAACGGGTCAAAATTCTAGTCTTTTGGAATATGGAGGATGCAAGGTTTGCGACTGTATTTTTTTGCCTAAATATTTAGGTTAGAGTATCCTTTGATTTTATTTAATTTCTTTATTTCATGATTCAGAAAGTAAGCCAAAGAGACAAAAAAAAAAAAAACAGAAAGCAAAAATCATGAACCGAAAAACTGTTCAGAGATCATTTGAAAGAGTTAAAACTAAAATGGTACTCTTTGCTTCCTTTAGTTCTTAAATATTTATATTGTATCAAAACATTTACACATGGAATTCATGTTTCTAGGCAAAGGAAATATGGCGTGACCTAACAAAAGTTGAGTTTTACGTCAAGTGTTATGATCCAAAAGGTACCAGTTCTACCATTGTTGCTTTGAGTGATTATGTCTTGTATGAATTCATTACAAATATTTTATCATGCCTAACTGTACCTTTTTTATGCATTTGTAGGTGAATTATTGATATCTTTTATGGACAAACAGTAAGCCAGCAGTCAAATGTTGTTTTATATTGTGATAACAGTTTCACAAACGTAAGCACAAAGATCACTTGGATATTTACAAGGTACTTGGGGACAACATCTGCTTGCAATTACTACAGTATCATATATGTTACAATAGTCCTGCAGGTACGTCACCCGCAATTTGTTTGATTAAGTTATCAAATATGAAAGAGTCTCAAATCTAAAAGTCAGACTTAATTTTATTCTCTAATTTATGGTGGATGCATATATTTCTTAGAGACCTGTTGGCCTTATCAGCGTCTGGGGCTAAAGGTCATATTCACAATACAAACCAAAAGATTGTGCAGTAAATGCGAAAGTGATGCATGATCTTGAAAACCTTACGATTATTGAAGAAAGATGGAGATACACTTTGTGAAGTAATTACTTTTTGCAAATGTCAATGGTATGGTATTTCTCATAAAATTGTATCATTTGTTAAAGTTAGCTAAATATAACTTTTTTTTTTATGAATTTACACTACATATGCATGTAAAACCAGGTATTGGACATTGATCGACATTACTAGCTCTATATATGATTGACTTCACGAGAGACTAAAGGGATGCTACAATGTTGATCTCATTGCTAGATTCTTTTAGTATTTTAGTTTTACGATGAAATTGAACTCTAGCGTGTATAAATTTTATAGTGTAATCCGCATATTGATTCAATGTAACTTTTAACAAGTGGGTTGGATTGTTCATTTAGAATTATGTTTTATTCATACTTTATAGTTTTTTATTCGGTGATTTTATCAATTGAACAACTGTATTTAATATTATCTATTTTGCCATCAAATTCAGTGTAACACATATTATGATGGTAAAATAAGAAATAAATTTAAGAATAAATATTCTAAATAAAATAATATACAAAATCATATTGAAAAAAAGTAAAAATGTAAAAAAAAAAAAAAAACACCAAGGCGAAACTTGAAAGTATAAGAATTGTCATAATACATATGCTTTTGAGGCACTACATAGTGCCTTAACTAATTTATTAAATTATAATATATATGTAGTATTACATGATATTTTATCACACTTGTAAGTGTTGTTAAATATTTTTTTTTAACTCAACAGGAAGACAAGGGTGACATTCAGGTTCCAACTGTCTCAAAAAAAACTCAAGGGATCTACCCAGGAGGTAAATTTTTGAG